AATTTTACAAAAAAAAGGACTCAATTGATACGCCGAAAATGAAGAGGACCTATTTGAAATTCATGACCAAAATAGGGACCTACGAAGACATTAAACCTTTATAAAATTATGTCTAATTTAATCAATATAATAATAAATTATTTTTTGTTTATAATAATTTTTTTAGTATTAAAATATAAATAAATTTAAACTAGTAAAGCATTAGTGTTTTTTTTTCAAATTAACCGTTTTTTATTTTATCATTCTATATAAATTTATCACTTTTTAAATCAAATAAATATAAATCATTTCCAAATGAAAAATTATCTTTTCTAGTCATGCTTATAAAGTAATTTTTTGAAGTTAAATTATTTGTGGGAAGCATATATTTTCCAGTAATGTTTCTAATCATGATGATACAAATTTTAAGATTAAAAATCATAGAAGAATTTGCTTTGAAATGAGAAAGAAAAAGGCTTGAGATATTACATTATCCACATGCCAGATGGTACATATCACAGTTGCATCTGCGTGGGTGTGACTGTAAGAAATGGCTCTTGTTCTGAACGTCTCCTTGTGTTCCACTTCTAAGCCACATCTTTCTCTCTCAAACTCCAATTTCAAACCCACCACTCTTTTTCATCTTCCTCTTCTGGTTCGTATACTCTACCTATTACCTATTTCTCTCTTATTCATCTTCAACACCGTGATTCTCTTAGCTTCATTTCACAGGGATTCAACGCAAAGCAAACTCGCCAACCATCTCAGAAACTCGCATTTCCATTGGGTGAGTCCGTGTCTGGTGCCACCCTCGTGGCTCTCCTCTCTGCCTCTTTCATCTTTGTTGATCCCGCACTTGCATTCAAGGTAATCAATAACTCAACATTTTATAGTTTATCGATAAGAATTTCAACCCCAGTTATTCAAGTTAAAGGCTTTTTGAGTTCATGAATGATGGGTATGGAGAATTCAGGGTGGAGGTCCATACGGGCAAGAAGTGACACGGGGACAAGATCTCACTGGGAAGGACTTCAGTGGCAAGACTCTGATCAAACAAGACTTCAAAACGGTGTAACTTTTTATTTTCCCCTTTGTTTTTAATTTTCAAAGGAGTTTACTTTTAATGCATTTTATCTGTCAACATAGTTTTTTTTAAATCAAATTAACTTTTAAGGTAATTATTATAAATAAAACAATCTTGTCGAACATAACAATCCATAATTGTATGACATTCTAATTAAATTCAAGATTAATTTCTGTACTGCAAAGATTTTTACATTCTTAACTAATTAATGATCTGGATAATCTTGAATTTAAGTAGTTTCTGTATGAAGTTCATAAACTTACCTATGATAATGTCTAATTGAATCGTAGTATAAAAACTTTTTACACTGCAAGTGCAAAATTTATTTTCTCATTAACTCTGTTTAAAACTAAACTGATTTGAAATTTGATGATGGAGTCATTCAAATGTGTGCTTTTGATCAAAATTTAATAAGTTAACTAACGTTGCCTGGTACAGTCCATACTGAGACAAGCCAATTTTAAAGGTGCAAAGTTAATAGGTGCTAGCTTCTTTGATGCTGATTTAACAGGTTTGTCCAACACTTCATGTTATAATAATGAATGTAATGTAAACATTTCGAATCCTGTTTACCGTTCACATTTATATTCTCTCCCCCATCTGCTGTCTTTGTCAGGTGCTGATCTTTCGGATGCTGATCTTCGAAACGCTGATTTTTCCCTGGCTAATGTGACAAAGGTAATTGTTGTTTTGTGTGTATTGTGCTCACATCAACCCAAAATTTTACGTAATGGGAGTGATCAAACATAGGGAAATAGTGTGAGTGGAGTGTAGATGATTAATCCTCAAATTTCTCAACATCTGATTAACTGTTTCCTCATCCCGTCCTTTTGTTATACTATTTGAAGAGAAATTACAAATGTTTCAAATAGATACAGAGAAAACGGGATACTAAATGACCAAATGGAAATATGAGGGATATTAGTGAATGCACACGAACATGTTCTAAAAGAAATCACTAGTAAAGAACGTGAACACTTCCAATTATAACATAGAAGGTGCAATCAAGTTAACTTAAAATATCATGATGCATCATTAACATAATTGTTAGCCATCTGCAATCAGACAGAATGATAAATTGCATATGGATAGAATCAGATGGGAAACGATTAACAACTTCAAATTTTCTTATAGTCTGAGATGAAAATGTTACCCAGTCCACTTTAATTGACGAATTTCTTTTTGGTTGTGTTCTGCATGAATGACCACTTTCTGCAGGCAAACTTAAGCAATGCTAACTTGGAAGGTGCACTTGCAACAGGAAATACTTCTTTTAAGGGATCAATTATTACAGGTGCTGGTATGTAATACCACTTAAACTAGAATGTGCTACTATTGCGCTTCAAGGGAAATATGGATGTAAAAGAGTGTACTTCTGATGATAGCTTTCAATTCATTAAAATTCCTGCATTGATATTGGCTGGTGATTAGTTTACTAATCTATAGTTCCAAACCTGCCCAGTTAGAGAGAAAGAAGAAACATATAATGGAGGAAAAACAATGGGAAGCAAGTTTGTCTGCAAAATCCATGAATATGTCTATGAACTTTACAAAGACAAGTTATATTCTCCTTGACAATGGCACTGTGCTTCCATTTGTCATGATCTCACCCTGTTTTAGTTTGTATCTTTTTATGAAATATGTCCACCACTAGTAAATCTGCCGGAAATTTTTTAATACTCAACATGCAGTTCAGATATTAGAATATAGATTAGTCGTTTGTGTAGAAATTAGTACAGTGCACCTGCATAAGTTTGGTTTCTGTATGAGAAGTAATCATGGAAACTTATGATATGTTTGAGCTGATGTAATAACTGAACCTGTAAATATAATGTTAAGAGCGTAAATAAACTTTGTTAAGACACGATGACACCACAAGAGTAAAAATTTACATCATCATTTGATGGTTTGCTTATTGTTTTGGTTGGAATCAGACTTCACGGATGTACCACTAAGAGAAGATCAACGTGAATACCTCTGCAAAGTTGCTGATGGGTAAGATTATATACATAAATTAAGATTGTTTTATTGTCTGAAGATGCTTCATCTGTAACGAAGTTGTTTCTGGTAACAGAGTGAACCCAACAACTGGAAATGCTACGCGTGATACATTGTTCTGCAATTAGTATTCCATTGCTGAAGAAGACTCACTCCAAGACCTTCAAAATATATGCACTAAATATTTGTATCTCCATTATCCTCTGTGCGGTCTGTGAAGTTGTCAGCTTGGCATGTTGTTGGAATCTTGTAATACAAAGCAACAAAATCTAGATTATTCCAAATTTCCATTCACCATACAATTGACAATAAGATTGTGATGTAAGGCTCTTAACCATACCTATTTGTTTCACATAGCTCAACTCCTTTCATCTATAGTATAATAATACACTGAGGAATACATGGAGTGGCCTTGAGCAAGACTTAGGGTCAATTTTGAATAAATTTCTTAATCGAAAAAAGTTAGTTTTTGGGTAAGCTAAAATTAGTTTTATTTATGTGTACGATAATTTATTTCATATAATTTTTCTGACTTTTTTAACATGTGCATATACAAATTTTAATATATGAAAAAAAAATATTTTCTCTCCTAAAATATATAAAAAAAGGTTTTGTTCAAATTTACCCGTAAGACAATGAAATGGATTGAAAAGATATACGTGAATATGATTGCAAAATATAGAAGTAAAACTAGATATAAAGGAGTTTGACACTTCAAAAATATTGTGAAAAATGATGTTGGATAGGATTGTGTTGCCTCACTAAAATAGGTCTCCAATTCATACATTATCAATCACAAACTGGTAAGTTGTTGTACATGTTCATTTGTAAGTTCTATGTTTTGGCATGAAGCACTATTATTATTCAGCAACCAAATGTTATACTAGTTTCTCCTTCTTCCTTTCTGACAGAAAAGCTTCACTCAGAAAACGTATTTAAAGGTGTTGTGAAATGTCCACACCCATTTTTCACCACCCTAAATTATGAGACAAAGGGAGATCACCAAAAGAGGAATACACACATTCCATTGCATGGAAAAAGAAATGACATACAATATTCACCCATGTATGTCCATGCCATACAGGAGTCTTAACAAGTCATAGACTTCGAGTATTGCGAGAAATTACTCAATGAGTAAAAAGATGATTTGACTATTATTGTTTCTACCACCTTTGAATCCAGCCGTTCCACCTTGTTTTTTGTTTGCCACACTATGTTACCATTTGATTCTTATCCTAGTAATTGAGTTTTCTGTTCCAATAGAGACCCCCCCCAGGCTGTTAAACATCAACATTAAAAAAAATATTTCAACATGTTTTAAGCTTTACGTTTACATCACTGATATTTTTTTTTCTTGTAAGAAAATACGAAATCTACTTATTGAGCACTTGGGAACATTTCATAAAAATATGAATTAATTCAATTATTTAAGCATTAGATATTATCTTTGTAATTTATGAATATCAAATTTTACATAAATGAGTCGTTTACGTATATTGTAACTAATATATTATCGATCAGAGTAAAATCCGATAAAATATCAATTAACCTTTTAGTATATGAAATGTATAAACTTAATCTATTTTATATATAAAAAAAAAATCATTTCGACTATTACATTGGTTTCATATTGAATGAAGCTAGAATACAGTACCACAAGTACAAAAATTCGACTCTTAATATCAATTGTTCTTTTAATTTATGCCAAAAAAAAAATCATCGTAAATCTTTCGTAATTTAGAAAAAAAAAATACTCACTGAAATTATCTTCTGACACTCTAGAAAGCCAGCCATTGAACTAAACAAACTTGTTCCTGCTCAGACTTAATAGCCAGGGTCCACTTCACACCTCACACTATGTTTCTCTTCTTTTTTAGCCTTGCATGCAGCAAGAAGCAAGAAGAAAGAAGCAAGATGAGCTAATAAAGAAAGGAGGCACTGGCACAACGGTAAATTTTATTTCAAGCTCAATCATTCAGAATCCCTGGGAAGTATGGCAGAAATATTAAATATACTGATAAACAATCAATATCCGACGTGTATTCATGACCATTCTGGAAAGGCAGAAAAGGGTGAGAGAAGAGCAAGCCAGTATCATCAATGATTTGCAAGTCACGGCGGAGGAGTCCGCTGTCCTCGACCACGATGAGGTCTATTATCAGAGCCTCCATCTGAAGATTCGTTTGCATCATCAGATCCAGACTGTCCATCATAATTTTCCCCCCATAGTGTCGCGGGTCTTCTTATTCGCATCTGGAGTGTGGTGCCCCTGGACACAGATGCAGGTTGAAGAATGAGGAAAAACACAGCTAGCAGACCACCATCATCTATGGGATCATCAACCCCAAATGAAGTTTGAAGTGTGCTAAGGAGGTCGCCAAGATCCCTCTGGCGCTCTAACCTCCTCCAGTTACGCTGACGTTCTGGGTCTACTGCAGATGGGCGCTCTAGAGGATGTTCAAGTCTTGCATGCTTTCTAAGATCTGGGTATGTGCCAGTGAAGTTGCAAGTCTCACAAGAACAACTCCTTGATTTTTCATTCATAAAATGCCGAGCCGCCTCCACTACTTTCCACTCTTTTATTTGCCCTCTACATAGAGGGCATACTAACTTTGACTTTGCCTCATTGTCACAGGATAAGGCTTGCATTGTAACCAAACCCTCACTTCTGTCTTCAGGCACATCAATTCTACTTTGGACAGTCACCTCACTTATGTCTTCCGGTACATTAATTCCACTTTGGACAGTCCCCTCCTCATTTCTGTCTTCTGGCACATCAATTATACTATCGACAGTGTTAGAAATTTGACTTTCTACTTGAGCAATGGTTGATGCGGTCTCAGCAAATGACTTGCGGAACTGATCAAGACAGTTTGAGTGGCGATAGCTAGTGTTACACATGTAAGGACGGCATCCTTTCTCATGGGATGAACATATAAGGAGAACAGCATTGTGAGGGTGTTCCATGCACACTGGACACCTAGCATCTTCCCATTCTTTAACGTTTTCCTCTGACTCTCTAAGAGCAGATCTCCCAACACAACTAGAGCTGCTCGGGTAAGGTGATGCTCTGCTACTTTCATGCGACAAGGACCTATCCCTTCTCTCCTTTGGCATCTTGAATTGTCAATACTTTTTTTAAACACAGACTCCACCACCCAGAGGAATAACTGAAGTAACTTGAAACCTACATACAGGTAGCATCAACATGAACAAAACTGAGTTCAACATCAATACACATACAGGAAAAACTCATGTCAAATACATCAGACATCAGTGAAAAAAAAAAGTCATCCATGAGTAAAGCAATAGAACCTAAAAATCAATATAGCTGGAATCCATGTTCATAGTTATTCCACAAACAAATTTCATTCCAAAACTCCATGTAAATGTTGAAAGTAGAATGGTTATCGTTAAGACAAATCCATGAGAGGACTTGGTTTACGAAAAATATATAAGTTATGCACACAAGACTTTAAAATTAAATGCACCAGTGTAAGCTGTTGCTTCAATGCTGATGAATCCCTTCTTATTTCTCCATTATTATCATGACCCAAATCCAGTGTCCATGACTAGAATAGATTAGAGTAAATCTAAACCTTATTTCCACCCATTTTACACGAGACTTTCCCAAATTTGATAATAACCTACTTCATGATATTAAGTGTTGAAGACAAAATCAATCATATCAAATTTATAGCAATTTAAAACAAAAGAGTTAAGAAAACTATTATAATCTTTTTATAAATAAAATTGGAATGATAAAACATTCTTCACATCCTTTAATAGAAAAGGGGGTCTACTAAGACACAGCGAGGTCAGCCCAAAGTACCCTAATATATATAATCATTCAAAGAATTATACATTTTTCTATTTCTCATAAAAACTCAATATTATGAAAAATTCAAGCTATGTTCTCATTTCTCGTTATAATTTAGCCAAATTCAAACCATCAATAATACCACCATACATGCATGTATAATTATATACACCATAATAAGAGAGATTAACTACAGACCAAGTAATAGATATAGGGTCATGCCTCAATTGGCAAGCTCAACTGACCAAATTATGTGTCCTGTCAAGCTCAACCTATCAAGCATAACATGCTTATCATAATCTAGGGTCCGTTAACCCTGTATTTCAGAATGATGTCAGGGATCCATTCACCCAATGTTTTTCTAAAGGATCCGTTCACCCAGTGGCTTACATATGTATACTATGAGCGCATAGAGTATTTATTTTCTCACCATGGTAAGTAAGGCATTGTCCCTATTTCAGCAAAAGCAGGTGTTCTAACATAGACCCGTGAAAAATTGCAATCAAACAAATCCTAGGCAATAACAAGTGATGTATTCAATGTATCACATCTAACAACCTCATACCATATCTGTTCACTTTGTTACTACGGCGCAAAAACTTTGCCAGTGCACTATTTTCAATACAAATTGAATAAAACAACTGATAATTGTATATCATAGACTACCGCATGCAAATTTTAAAATATAAGAATCAAGACGTCCTATAACATGTAAATTCTAAAATATAGAAAAAAATAAAAGCCTTACTAAACTACTCCGCTCCTATCATGGAACTGAATTGAAATACATCGTATTTGAGATTTTACCACACGAAGCTAGATTTTCTAAGCTTTCCAACAAGCTCAGGATCACACAGATTTGAGTTCCTTCACCAAAGTAATGATCCTTTAGAGTAGACTGATCAAAATACTGAACAGAAAAAGTAATTACACGAAGTTACAGTTACAGGGAATTCTATAGTTATCAAGACATTTTGAAAATTTTCAGGATCAAAGAACTAAATGTAAGCTCCCAACTAAAGTTGTTTCCACTTCAAAATCACTTGTATAGCTTAAGTTATTCTCTTTTAAAGTAGGATGACTCATCAAAACCTACAGCAAATAATCATGTTCTCAAATTTATTTTGAATTTTGATGTATAGCTAATGAAATTTTCCGGTTAGATACTTAATTAAAAGCTTTTGAAATCCTCTATATAGCTTTAGTTATTCTCTTTTAGGTTGAATCCTTAAAACTTACTGCAGATAATCATGTTCTCAAATTTATTTTGAATTTTGTAGTATGCTTATGAAATTTTCTGGTTAGATACTTCATTAAAAAGCTTTCAAACCAAGCATCATAGATCTCATTCATGAAATTTAAAGAAAAATAAAAACATGGTTGCAAAATCCACGCTTAAACCCCAATTTATCGCATGACTCGAAGGCTGAACTTCTGCCAAACACTTTTTGAGTAAATTCTCCAACTTTCCCAAGTCTTCAAATTTCTCAATCCTCTCAGCCCCTCTATTTGCAAAGCTACACAAGTCGACCCAACAGCTTATTTATCACAGAAAACTCCGCAAGAAACAAGATTCCCTTTCAAAACCCTAGTTTACCCAAACCAAACACACAGAAGCAATTCAACGAATCCAACTCCAGAAATCAAGAGAAATAGCAATAAATTGAAGTTTAATCTCTAAATCCCTCACCACTTCGATCTTCTTCAACCTCCACGGAAAAAAGTTTAGATGTGCTGAAACCCGAAACTTGTGATACCCTTGAGTTTCTCTCGTTCTCCTCTTCAATTTCTTCAACTGTGAACAACACAAGGGAGATCTTGATCGATCTTCCTCTTTTCCTTTGTGTTTCCCCTTTCTCTTCCTCTCTTCTTCCTCTCTTTCTCTCTGCTTCTTCTGCACTTCCACGTTGGAAACCCAGTGTTTCCTTCCATTATATAACTTTTATTATTTACTTTGTAGGACCTACACTTCCCCCATTTCCATATTCCTTTTTCTTCCACCTTTTCTTTTTTTTTAAAAAACTATGAATCTTCCTACATATTTTTAATTACTAATTATAAATCCTTCTTATAATAAACATTTAATATTTTAGAAATATTAAATCTCACATAATACTACTACACATTAAGCATCAAGGAAACTGTATATTTCAAAAGCTTTTAAATCTCATCAATTATCTTCTTTATAAACTGTCTTATAATAAATTACATTAATCACTTCTGAAAATTTGAAAAACTACATAAATATTGTTTAATTTTTTTAATTTATACTCTTCTTAATTTTTAAAAATATCTAACCACTTAAATTAAAAAAAAAAACATTACACACATATCTAAGAGATTAGTGTAAGCATAAGAAAGATAGTATAATCTCACAAAATTTCAAACATAATTAATGCAATTTACACGATATTATTTAAAACAAACATCTGAATAGAAGTAATATATTTGAGTACATGTTAAAACTAACATTAAGTAATATATTAGTAGTTTGTTTTTTCACATAACCGCCATAAGGAGGGAAAAAATGGGTATGAGAATTATCCAATGAACTATGCAATTTCTGAAGTTGGTTTGTCCTGTTGTTGATTTTTTGAAAGCATGAGATCCACAATTTAGACTGTTCCAAATTTCCATTCCCCAAATAATCATAGCCAACAACTTTTCAGGGAAATTGTGAAATTAAATTCATTATACTTAACCCTTTATCATTTTAATAACTTTATTTGTTAAATATGGAAAAAAACAAAAAAATTCATCCTTCCCTAAAACAACTATGTAAACTGTGCATGCATATTGCACATTGTGGGAACTTCCATATACATACATGATGCATATTAAATTTTAGTAAAAATAAAAATTTATGAACAAAAGTATAATTGAAATCTTGTTTAAAACTTCCATATACATGCATGATGCACATTATCTTTTAATAAGTAAACACAAAAATCTTAATTTTAAAACTTTAGTCACAAATTATATAAAGTCGAAATTGAAAATTATAAATGATATGTGGTCAAATTGGTCACTCGACAAGTTGCACGTGGACTTGTACCAGTTGTATTCAACTATTAGTTATTATTAACTCAACTGTTAGGCAACAAAATATTTACGTGGAAATTATTTATCATGTTGTACAAAATATTAATATTTTAAATGGATTAAATATTTATGAAATTGAAGAAGAAGAAAAATTATGAATTGTATATATGTGTGTTTTTTTTAAATAAATAAATAATTCATTCAATTTGTCTCTTTAAAATGGATGTTAATAATTTTAACACAAATCATGATTAAAAATATTAAAAAATATGTATTGATTTGAATGTGATTTTTTAACTCAAGAAATTAACTTAATAATATTTTTCTAATATGTATAAAAATTTAAATTGTTCGTCTTTGATCATACTGCTTCCATGAATTTTAAAATTGAGAGTATGCATACCAATCAAACTGCTCTAAATGAAAATAATTAGACGTAAGAAATTGCTATTTAACAATATGGTTGTGTGAATTGATTTAAAAACGGTAATTGGATGTAATTTATATTTATATTTTAATTTGTTTAATTATATTTAAAGTATATATGGAATTGCACTAGTAATTGTATATTCTTTTACAAGATAACTATTGACAGTATATGAATATTAATAATGCTTTAGTTTATGTGTACTAGATTCTCACGTTATAGAAAAAATTATTAGATTTTAAATAAATAATAATGTGAAAGGTTCTCTAAGTAAAGAAATTAATCTCTTTTCATTCTTAAATTATGTATTATTTTATGATAGATTTTGCATCAACTAAATATTAAATTAAATTAAAATATATATGATAACAAATTTAATTTTAATAAATTTTAAAATTGAGTTATATTTAAACTTATTAATTTATTGTAGTATTAAAATCTAATGGTTTTATCCATATAAAAATTTGGATACATCATATAATTTGTTATTAGATTTTTTGTTCTAAATTATAATATTTAAGCAAATTAAACTTTATTTTATTAAACTGATTTTTATAACATTGTATTAGACAAGTTTATTATTTTAATTATTTCTTGCCACTTTTTTTTTCATACAATACATCTTGGTAATTATAAGTAAACATAAACTTCAAAAATTTGTTCTTTTTGTTAAGATTTTTCCTCTGTATTCTTAACTTTTCACCTCTTTATTTAATGAACATGCATATGATATTTTAATACTTGTTGAATTGTGTTTTTTTATTAGAAAACAATAGAAAATAAACATCTTCCTTTAAATTTTGATAGTGATTACTATTTATGGAAAATATTGAAGATTTAGATAACGTTTTGATTCATGACATATATTGGAGACTAGACAGTTTAATTGTTGAAATCTTGTAATTTGTGTACTTTATTTAAATTAGTAGATCAATAATCAATAAACAAAAACTCAAGTACTTAAAAATGTTTTATTTTTCATAAAAACTATATGGAAATCGATTACTACTTTTAATCATCGATTATCACACAGAGAAAATAAATTTTGAATTAGTTTATGGAATAATCGATTGTCACTTGTAATAATCGATTATTAATAATAGTTATAGACTCTTTAGTTCTTTAAACTTTTCAGATTAAGGGTTATGGGTTTATATATAGTTTATCTAAACCTAAATTCTAAAAGAACTTTTCAGTCAGAAAGGTTTAAAGAAACTCCTTGTGTTTGTGAAAAAAGATTTTGAAAAATATAGTGTGGGTAGAGTGAGAATTTTTACTAAGTGTGCTTTGTGATTTAGTGTTGTTGTTCTTGAGAAAGTTGTTCATCTTTTTGTGTCAAAAGAAATGGTCATCCTTTATGTGTCAAATGATGTGTTTTCTAACTTTAAATTGATTATATGTAATTGTAAGTTCTAGGTTACTTTTTAGTATTTAGTTAATCTCTAAAATTAACAACTTGATGTAGAATCTTTTGATCCAAACTATCAAATAAACTAATTCACTTTAGTTTTGTCCGAACATGAATATTTCATTGTATATTTCTAACTTTCTTATTTGATTTAATATTGAGTGATTGATAACTAGAATTATAATATTTAAGTAAATAGAAAAGTTATTTGAATAGCTTTTTAAGTATTAACTTTATAATAATTTAAGATAAGGAAAGTTGACTATGTTGTAAACTCTTATATAAAAAAGTTATAAATTCAGTTAAACATGATTAAGTTATAAGTTGGTATATGATAATGAAATATTATATATGGTAAAAAATATTAACATAGAATGTATATATACAACATAATTTGGTTAACGAAGTATATTTTACAATGAATTTAAGTTATAGAGACTTTTGTTAAAGTTAATTTTCGAAAGAAAAAAAATCATATTTTATGGAATTAACAAAGAGGTAAAAAAAACTTAAAATACTTGCTTAAGGTTTGAGTTTAGGCTTTAATTAATAAGATGTCTTATTATGACTTTATTTGATAGAGACGATTTTTAAATGTTTGAATTATTTTACATTGTAATTCTTTTCATTGATGAGACATATCACTATATTATAAAGATTATAATGGAATAGGATGAAACAAATACTTCGACACTTATTAACAGAATATAAAACTTTATCCAAATTATATACACAAATATATGATGTGCTAATTTAAGAAGGAATAAATTCTCTTGCCGTCTGTTTGAAGAAAAAAAAGTTATTATAATTTTTAAAAATATTTTTTAATTTTGAAACAATCAAGTAGAACATATATATATATATATATATATATATATATATATATATATATATATATATAATATTATTTCATTGTTTAAAAAATTATAATATATATTATTATTATTATTATTAATGAAAGTATATACACACTTTATCCCTATTGTGATACTTTTTCAAAATAGATTTAAAGTGTTTGAAATCAATTATAGAACTAACACATCATTTCTCACGTACTCGTGGAAACAGATATTTATTATTTTCATACTTTTGGGCCATTGAGAATGATAAATCGTGTTACGAAATTATTTCCAAACATGGTTGTTATAATTCCACTAAGTTAAAAATTGTTTTAAAAGAAATATCAGTAACAGTGACGTTTTTTCGCATTAGATTAAAATAAAACACGGAGGTTTATGAATCTAATTATTTATTTAATAATCTCACTGTAATTTATAATTTATATTCAGATTTAATTGCTGAGTCTCACCCTGTGATGACGTATGAAGCATGCAATGAAACATGGTAGTCAGAAAGGAATGTCAAAATAGAAAGATTGTTGCAGTAATTTGTGGTTAGTAAAAGAATACACACAAAATTCAAACAGAGTTTTTATTCTTTTAGGAGAAAGAAATAGCCAAGGCTCCGACAACGACAACAGCAACGAGGGGGTCTCCTAGAAAGGAAGTGTGACACAAAACACAATCCTTGATTTCTAATTATACGCTACAAACAATGGAACCCCATTAGCTTTGATTCATGCCCTTTACACGCTACCCTGTAAGTTTTCATTTTTTTCTTCTTTTTCTTCCATTTTAATTCTCAGCATTTCTTTGGGGTGCCATTGTATGAATTTAAACTTTAAGGTAGATTTAAGGAGGACCGGTCTGTAGAATTTCGTTTAATTCAAAATGGGGTTGTGTCATTGATTTGATCATTGTTACCATGCCAATCAAAATGTCTATGGAACGAGTTCAATGAGAAGGGTCAGATTTCATGGTAGATCTAATGTTTTATCAACTTCGTATTATGGGTTTAAAGTTGGATTGCGGTTCCATTTGGATTGATCTCCATCCTCAACTACTTCACTGTTTTCTTGCAATTATCTTTCTTTATTTGAATGTGTATCTTTTGCGCCACTAATATGATATTTCTATGCACTGTGTTTTTTCAGAGAGAGAAACCACCTCACGAATGAAATATTCGATTTTGAGTGAGAGGAACCAAATATACGTTCCTCAATGTCTAATCTACCTGATTCAACGAGGAGTGTGGCTGTGCAACTTATTTACTTATTTATTTGTAAGCATGAAAAACACAGTAACCAAATTGCTGGATTTTTTTTGGTGATGGAGAAGGTTACTGTTGATTATAATTTTTCAATTGAAATATAATGTTAATCTGCTACTGATCTGTGTTGCAGGCCAAACATTTTGTGCTGCTGAAAGGCTTGAAAACGTTGTTTAGTTTGCTTTGAATTCAGTGAGTCATTTTCTTTGGAACAAGTTCTTTATTGTATATGTATAACTTTGAAAATATTTTATACGTCCCCATTACTCTGAAGTAAGGTCTCTTCCTAAATCTTTTTGTATGTGTGTTTATTGTTTGTATGGTATAATATTTTCACCGTGCATTGCTTTTCCTTTCTTCCTTGACAAATCTCTCCAGAGTTTTACTGGGTACTTGTGTTGAGTTTCATATGCATTTAATTTGCATCTGTTTTGGATTTGGTTTATTTGTGTTACAGAATATTGATGCTTGATTGGAGTCAGTAACACGTGGGAGTCCTTCTCACTCTATTGATTGTCTCTTTCTCCATTGTCTTTGTTAGGGCCTTTGTTCTTCTCATTCTCAGCAATCTTTTAATAGATGAGAACCTGATGCTTTTGTAAAAATAGGACACCAAAAGATGCAAATGCAAACTGATTTTAATGCGGTAGAGGATCAATATGAGCTATGTGAGGCTGGATATCCAAACAAAACTGCTATAGCATGCATGATAAATGCAGAGATTAGTGCTGTGTTGGCAGTTATGCGAAGAAATGTTAGATGGGGAATTCATTACATTTCAGATGATGATCAATCAGAGCACTACCTTGTTCAGTCATTAAAGACGTTGAGGAGACAAATTTTCTCATGGAAGAATCAATGGCGTGCCATCAACCCTGCCTTGTATCTCCAGCCTTTTCTGGATGTGATACGATCAGATGAAACTAGTGCGCCTATTACTGGTGTTGCTTTGTCATCTGTTTACAAAATCTTAACTCTAGATGTGATTGATAAGCACACTGTCAAGGTTGGGGATACCATGCACCTGGTGGTTGATTCCGTCACTAGTTGCAGATTTGAAGTGACTGACCCTGGATCAGAAGAAGTGGTATTAATGAAGATTTTGCAAGTTCTTCTAGCTTGTGTTAAAGGTAAAGCATCTGTAATGCTGAGTAACCAACACGTTTGCACCATAGTGAACACTTGTTTCCGAATAGTTCATCAAGCAGGAACCAAAGGTGAGCTGTTCCAACGAATAGCACGGTACACAATGCATGAACTGGTTAGGTCTATATTTTCTCACCTTCAGAACATTGACAACACAAAGTGTGGATTCATAAATGGGAGCGCTACCTTAAAGCAAGTGGTATAAGATTTGTGTTTCCTTTGACCTTTTTGGTTGCATTTCACACTTCTTGATGCGATTATTTTGCCAGTTATAAAAAAAATTGAAAGGAAAATTCTATTCTGGGCAGGATAAAATTTCTTATTTTCTCAAAAAAATGTGCTTTGCTATTATAAGTTTTTCCCAGCTACAAATATGAAATTGTTAAAAAAGAAAATATCCTTAACTTATTCTTATGTTATTGCATAGTATTTATGTAAAATTTTTAATTTCCATTAATAGGGATTAAAGAAGGCCAAGCAAATGACTATGAAATCTTTTAGGTAGATTGTCCGAAACTTATCGGGAAAGAAGGAAAAATGCTTGCAATAACGTATGTTAATAAAGTAAAATCTGGTGGGGGCGCAGCGGGGTGGGGGCGCAGCGGGGTGGGGTGGGGTGGGGTGGGGTGGGGGTCAAGGAAGAAGCAAAGTATCTTTGCTTGATGCATATATTTTATTTCTAGTTAGGGGTAGATAGTTGTCTAGTATATTGTTAAACTTTCGAATGCCAATATTATATAGTCAAATCTATATATTCTCAATTCAATTGTCCTGCTGCCATAAACAACCTGAATTTTTAGACATAGGACATGCATAAACTTGAAATTAAGTAATGATATACATATAGTGTTTTTGCAGACCAATGGACTAAATAATGACCATGCTCTGGCAAGCAGAAAATTGGAAAATGAGAGGCTTAATTCTGCACGTGATGCTCAACCATTATCTACAATTACTGCTTCCGGCGCTGCACCTGTTGTGGCAGCAAACGCAGTGGATGAAAACACAGCTATTGCTAGCAGTGGAAATGAAACTGATCCACACGAATTACTGCTCATGACTCATGGGGTTCCTTGTATAGTGGAAATATTTCACTTCTTGTGTTTTTTGCTGAATGTCACTGAGCATATGGGAGTGAATCCTAGATCAAACACAATGACTTTTGATGAAGATGTGCCTCTTTTTTCGTTAACTTTGATTAATTCGGCCATAGAGTTGGGAGGGCCATCCTTCTGCCATCACCCAAGACTGCTGTGTTTAATCCAGGATGAATTATTCTTCAATCTTATGCAATTTGGTTTATCAATGAGCCCTCTTGTACTTTCGATGGTGTGTAGCATTGTTCTCAATTTGTATCACCATCTTCGCCAAGAACTCAAGTTACAGCTAGAAGCATTTTTTTCTTGCATAATTTTGAGGCTTGCACAAAGCAAATATGGTGCCTCATATCAGCAACAAGAGGTTGTGATGGAAGCACTCGTTGATTTTTGCAGGCAAAAAACATTCATGGTGGAGATGTACGCCAACTTTGACTGTGACATAAGTTGCAGTGATATCTTTGAAGATATTGTTGATTTGTTGTCCAAAAGTGCATTTCCTGTGAACAATCCATTATCTTCCATGCACATTCTTTCCTTAGATGGTCTTATTGCTGTAATGCAGGGAATTTCCGAAAGAATAGGTAGTGAATCTTTAAGTTCAAAACAATCTCCTGTGAATTTTGAGGAGTATACACCATTCTGGATGGAAAAGTGTGATAGTTTTGATGACCCAAATGATTGGGTTCCTTTTGTCTGCCAAAGAAAGTACATAAAGAGAAAATTAATGATAGGAGCTGATCACTTCAATCGGGATATTAAGAAAGGTCTTGAGTTTCTCCAAGGAGCACATCTTTTGCCTAACAAACCTGATTCCCAAAGTGTTGCTTGCTTTTTAAGATACACAGCTGTGTTGGATAAGAATTCCATTGGTGATTTCCTTGGAGATCATGATGAATTCTACATTCAGGTTCTTCATGAATTTGCTAAGACATTTGATTTCCATGATATGACCTTAGACACAGCCCTACGTGTATTTTTGGAGACTTTTAGGCTTCCTGGAGAATCACAGAAGATACACAGGGTGCTTGAAGCTTTCTCTGAGAGATATTATGAACAATCACCAGATATCCTAGCTAACAAGGATGCTGCTCTCGTGTTATCATACTCAATTATATTGCTTAATACTGATCATCATAATGTGCAGGTCAAAAAGTAGATGACAGAAGAGGATTTATCCGAAATAATAGGCATATAAATGGTGGCAATGATCTGCCTCGATAATTTCTATCAGAGATTTACCATTCTATTTGTAAGAGTGAAATTCGTACCACTCTTGAACCAGGCTTTGGATTTCCTGAAATGACCCCAAGTCGGTGGATTTCTCTGATGCACGAGGCAAATAAAACTTCTCCATACATTGTCTCGGATTCCCGAGCATACTTAGATTATGATATGTTTGTGTTGTTGTCAGGCCCAACAATTGTTGCCATTTCTGTGGCTTTTGATAATGCGGAAAATAAAGAGGTATATCAAAGATGTATGGATGGATTCTTAGTTGCTGCTAAGATATCAGCCCACTATCGTCTTGAAAATTTACTTGATGGTCTGCTTGTGTGCATATGTAAGTTCATTACCATTTTGGATCCATTGTCAGTTGAGGATTCTGTCCTGGCCTTGGGAGATGACACAAAAGTAAGAATTGCAACTGAGACAGTTTTCACTATTGCAAATAGGTATGGTGATTACATCCGCACAGGGTGGAGGAGTATTCTTGATTGTATTTTAATATTTTACAAGTTGGGCCTCCTTCCCCCTCGCTTGGCCAGTGATGCAGCTGACGAGTCTCAGGTAACTACGGAAATTGGACATGGAAAATCTAACTCATATTCTATAGTGTCATCTAATCTTCAATATATTGCTCCAAAGAGATCCTCAGGATTAATTAGTAGGTTTAGTCAACTCTTATCACTTGGTTCTGAAGAGATACAATCAATACCGACAAAAGAACAGCTGGCTGCTCATCAGCTAGCTACACAAGCAATTCAGAAGTGTCACATTGATAGCATATTCACTGAGAGTAAATTTCTGCAAGCTGAATCTCTATTGAATCTTGAAAGAGCACTCATCAATGCTGGAGCTCAACATCTGAAAGGAAACAGAATACGTGAGGATGAAGAGTCTTCAGTTTTCTGCCTGGAGTTATTGGTGGCAATTACTCTGAATAACAGGGACAGAGTTGTACTTCTTTGGAAGGGTGTTTATGAACACATATCCAATATTATTCAGTCAACTGTGATACCCTGTGCCCTGGTTGAAAAGGCTATTTTTGGACTTCTTAGAATTTGCCACCGCTTACTTCCCTACCAAGAGAACATTACTGATGAACTTTTGAGGTCCCTGCAACTTGTTTTGAAGCTTGACGCACTAGTTGCAGATGCATACTATGAGCAGATTACACGGGAAGTCGGTTGCCTTGTGAAGGCAAATGCTTCTCGTATTAGATCTCAGTCTGGATGGTGGACTATTACAGCTCTGCTCTCAATCACTTCTAGACACCTGGATTCATCTGAGGCTGGATTTGATGCGCTGCTGTTCATTATGTCTGATGGTGCTCACTTGCACCCTGCTAATTACATTCTCTGTGTAGATGCTGCGAGACAGTTTGCCGAGTCTCGTGTGGGACAGGTAGATCGGTCTATAATTGCACTAGATCTTATGGCAAGTTCTGTCAATTCCTTAGAAAAATGGTCGAATAATGTTAAGAAAACTGTGAAACAACAGGAAGTGGAAAAGATGTTGCAGGATATTGGGGAGATGTGGTTTAGGCTAGTGCAGGGACTGGGGAAAGTATCTTTGGACCAGAGAGAGGAGGTTAGAAACCATGCATTGTTATGTTTACAGAAGTGCTTGAAAGGAACTGTTGGGACTCACCTCCCACGTGATTTGTGGTTGACATGTTTTGATCAAGTTATCTTTACTGTGCTCGAAGACCTGCTTGAAATTGCGCAGTCGCATTCTCAAAAGGTCTACCCAAACATAGAAGGAACACTTGTTATTGCCTTAAAGCTTGTGTTTGAAGTTTTCCTCCAGTTACTCCTAGAACTATCACAATTGGCGTCCTTCTGCAAACTATGGGAGGGTGTTCTAAGCTGTATGGAAAAATGTGTGAAGATGAAAATTGAAGGAAGAAGAAGTGAGGAGCTTCAAGAGCTTGTGCCTGAGCTTCTGAAGTACACTTTGCTTGTTATGAAATCTGGAGACATACTAGTGCAGATTAATAATGGTTCGGGAGAAAATAGTTTGTGGGAACTGACATGGCTACATATGAAGAATATTGCTCCCTCATTGCAATCTGAGGTGTTTCCTGAGCAAGATCCGGAGCAGCTACAGCACAGACAGGTTAAAGCAGTTGAAAGTTTGGGATCTGATGCAAACATGTCCGATCCTTCAAATGAAAAAGAGGGCAACGATGGAGTTGAGATCAGTTAGTTCTAGCTGACAGTGTCTAAGCAACTTGAATTGGTTTTTCTGTGTCCCAATGAACACCCCCCACAATCTTAGTCTAACCTTGATCAGTTTTCATTTTTGTATCTTGAGGTTGTGCGGGCGTTATAGCTAATTATGCAGTAGATGACATTATTAATGTGGTTGGATCAGGTTGGTCATGCTAAGCATGAAGTGAAGTTGCCTGTTATTTGGTATTCTCTCTTTCTCATAATTGCCACAGGGACTTTTGGTTGGAGATATGTTATACTGCATAGATACACTGAAATTATAAAGCATCAGTATTTCTTTCTAGGTTGTACAGAACTCCAAATTATCTCTTTTTGTATTGACTGGGACATGTATTTACCCTGTATGTTAGCGATGTAAACAACATTTTTTAGATGATCATAAATATACACACACATGTTAAGATTATTAAATGTACTTGGGAACAAGTGTTGTTATATAGACTTTGGCTCTGTTTCTACAGAGGGTCAAATCGTTTTTGGTTTAAGCAAAATTAATTTGCTGTTGATCAATGTATTCCCTTTTTCGTGCCACACTCAATTTCAACCACTGATATCACTTTGAAAATTGTGTTGTTTTTGTAGAACCAAGAAACACGGGTTTTTACCCCATTTAATAATTGTTTGTGGAGATTGAATTTCATCAATTTAATTGATGGGTTAAAGTTTGCATTAAATAAATCAAGTACATTAGTTTCTTGTGAATAGTCCTTTATCAATTAATATATATATATATATATATATATATATATATTGACAGAACAATGTATATTGTAACAATTCTAAAAATTGAGCTTCTTTATTAATGGAGTTCCTACACTTTAAAGTATTAGACAAACTTCTCCAAAGAAACCTAAGACATAAATAAACAAATGTATAAAGTGTAGTTAGAGTCCATGGTATCAAAGTTTGCAAAAGAAGATAATTTGTTTACTTGGACCAAAACATAAAGATAAAACTACATTATGCAAAATATTCAACATATGTTAAACAAGACATTAAAGACTTATCTTGGAATCATTCATCCTAGGATCTATCCTCGCCCTCACCTGCACTCTTTTTATTCATATCAATATGACAATTATTATAAAAGGAGAAAGCAAGCAAACACACCACCAAAACAAAAAATGGCAAGTTAATTTACTTTGTAACATACACATATTCTAAATTTACAAAATAAAGTCGTCCTTATTACTTGAAACATAAAACATGCATTTTTTTAGACCAAATAAGCCATATACATGCTATACTAATTTAGATTCAATATCCATATTTATGCATTGACTAGGACACAAAAAACCTTACACATGTTATAAAAGTGGATTATAACAAAAGCCATGACTCCCCTTGATCTAACCAAACCAATCAAATTTCTTTGGACAGAGTAAATTGTTTGTGATATTGTTAGATGATGAGTCTCAACTTTAATCCCCTCATAAAAACCTCCTTCAACTCTCACCATCTAAACTATGACACTTTGTGTGAGTTTGTAAGTCTAATAGAGTATATGATGATTTTTGTCTAACATGTATCCTTGGTTAATGCATAACTTTAAACTAACAAGGATTTGTAATTGTTCCTTGGAAGCCAAAATCCCAAACAATCATACAATTAAATTTTTTTCTCATTCCATTCCATGGATTACTTTATTCCCTTAAAACCATCACATTTCCATAGAATAATACTTTCTTAACATATTTTCCATAAGGAAAATGATACTTGAACAACCATTTTTGACAACATTTAGACACGTGTTCTTGTGTCTAAATGTTGTCAAAAATGGTTGTTCAAGTGTCATTTTCCTTTCCATAATATAAAACCACAAATAGGTACCTAACATTCAACCACATCAAAGTAATAATGCACTTCAAAGTTGAGAAACAAAGAATATAGAGCAATCATGAACGATTAATTACTATAACTACACACCTCAAATCAAAGTTCCTAATGATCAGAGGGAAAAATTATATGTCTAGGACATATTTTCAAATTTTCAACTCGATCTGACGATTAATGAAGCGGAAATCTCAATTTTTTCCTAAGATAACTCATACTAGAAAAATAGGGTGATGTCTCTCATTGGGTAAGTGGCGCCTGAAGCTACAACTCCCTAGAACCCACTAATTTAAGAGCAATAGTACAAAAGTGGTGTCCAATGTCCCAAGTCAGTGGCCATTGTTTAAGTGGTGCCTGACAATGCTACAACTGCGCTCGATAAGGTACTCTAAACTCCCTCTTTAAGCTTTAATTAATTAATTTGACACTTATTGAGTTAATCACTACTTAATAAAACTCATAGTACTTTAAAATTCAAATTCTTAGCTCAAGGACTGTCAAATTAGTTTAATTCAAAGATCTCACAAAAAATTCCTAACCATAACAAAAATCAAGACTTTTCATGCTTCTCACAACTCATAGTTGCATAAAACATGTTGAAATCATTTATCTCAGCCAATATCATTAGTCTCACCATTTTCGCTCTCATTTCAATCCTAAATATCAAATTAGACTCACCAAAACAGATTCTAAAGTCAACAATGTTTATCATATAAAAAACAAAATCCAAGACACAAAATAAACAGTTAAATAAAAAAACTTTCATCTCATTTTTAGATGCAACAATCACTAAACATTTCAATTTGGTCATCCAATCACAGTTTTAAATTGCATAGTTAATAATCAAACAATTACTCAGATAATAATTAAAATTAACTTCCTTCACCTTATGTGACACTTTTAAAACACTAAACAACTCAACCTCACATATGTTGTAGCTACACATAGAAAAATTACAAACACGATAAAACCATATCATTATGATCATTAGTCAAGAAAGACTCATATTGAAGACTCTAAGATCACATGCAAACCGAACAAGCCTACATACAATGAGAAAATAAATTAAACCAAACAAATGGTAGAAAATCAATTTACCGAGAAATTAATTAATTGGATTTGAAAACCTCATCGAGAAAATCACTCTTACTATCTCAAATATTCGTAAATTTATATTACATGAATATTAAGATGACTAAATTCGTAATTTAACATAAATACAAAATAAAATTTTTACATTATATCACAAAATATGAATGAAAGGATTGAATATTTCAGTATTACTTTATTCATCTTTTTAAATTTATATTTCATTTTAACAAATTGTATTATAATTTAAAACATTTTTCTTTCTAGCAAAATTGTATTATAATTTAACTGTCAATTTTCAACAACTTTCATTCTTGGATCATCTTCATCTAATCTTACCATAAATTGTGATAATTTAAAGTTTACAAATTTAAATTTAAAGTTGAACTAAACACAATTTTATGATACACAACAATAATTAATAAATAAAAAGATCAACCTTAATATAAAATATAATTGAAAAGAATGAAAGCTTTAATTAAAAAATATATTATAATGACATAATGATGTGAAATGAATTGAAAAACTTGTTCTTATAAATTTGAAACTGTACGTAATACTTTGATGGAAAGTTTCATACAACAATGAAGAGAAATATAAAAACCTTGATACCATTTATGAAATTTAAAATAAAAAGTTATATCAAAACATTCTCACAAGATATCAATTTTCCATTTAACATGTTGACTCTAAAATTAAAATTAAATTACAAATTAACATATTTTGTGAACGAATTATCACTATTTATTTTTATGTTCGACTCACTGTCACATGACATAAATAAAATTTGTCCTACAACTTTTACTTTTCGTGATGTTAATTATTCACTTTCCATACATAACGAAAAGTAATATTAATAAATATTTTTTTGAAAGAAAAATGTGTCAATTTTCTGTGTACATTTCGACTATCAACACTTTGCGGAAGATAATTTCTATGATTTTCCATAAATTTAAACTAAAATCAGATAGATTTTCTTACAGCATAACATTTATAAACAGCATTTATCAATTTCAAGTAAAATTGATATAAATTAATCATGAGAAAGTTAGTGGATTTTAAAATGATTATAAAATAATATTTAGTATTCACTTATTATTACAGCAAGCTAATTAAATAAATAAAATTTCCTTAGTTTTGGAGAGTCATTTCCTTTTCCTTTCTTTTCTTTTTCAAATTAGTTTACACAGAGACGCAGTAAAGAATAGAAGACCGAAGATTCCGATGAGGATCAGTAGCAGTCCGGACATCCGTCAACTTTTCCGCTGAATCGCCGAATAAAGCAACAACTCGCAACTTTTCGATTCACAGAGAGTAACGAGTGAGTGAGATTTTATGCTTTCTCTGGATGTTACAATTTTGCCATTTTTTCAAATGCGCCGAATTTCATCTCAAATTGCTTGAATGAAAATGCTGGATCGCCCAGATCTTCTTCTTCTGTACGTGCATTTTGAGTAGTTGAACTCTTGCACGTGAGCATACTTGGGAATTAGGATTTGTGTGTGTATACTATTTTTTATACTTACATTACATAGGGTAGGGTTACCTTGTGTGTTAGACATTTACATGCTGTGGTGCTGAATTGAATCTGAAGCGTTTTCAGTTTGTGTTTCTTGTGCTTGTATTTCGTGCTTCTTTTAAGTTAGGGCATTACTCTGTGCTGCCTGTAAGAATAATGTAAATAGCTTACTATTTCTCCTAATTCTCTGTGGAAAAAGTAGAAAGCGTGGAGAAACATTTAATTATTTGTTTAGGAAGTGGGAAGATTGTAAGGACAAAATTATTTGGTAAATAAATCTGGACTTTTTAGTCTTGATTAGAACAATTCTTGATTATTTGTTTTTTGGAAATCTGGACTTGTTATTTTTGTTGTCTCATTGTATTTCAGAAGACTCAGGCCTTGTTTGGATAAAATTCTCCATTAACATTTATAAAAGAAAAAAAAATAAAAATTACATGAGTTTTTTCTTGTGAGCTAAAATTAACTTATGCATAATTCAAATAAACTTCTGTTGAAGTTAATATAATATAATATTGTTTTGACATATTACTCGTGCATAAGCCAAGTTTAGCTTTCGGAAGAAACTTCTTCATTTTAATTTCTTCTTTTTTTTCTTTCATGAGTGTTTATGAAAAGATTTATTTAAGCAGGCCCTTATTCAGTAATTACTTGACGATTCTTCTTGGTTACCATACTACTCAAAGTGCTATCACACGACTCCTTTTAGTTATTTGGTTTGTGGTATTGAGTTTTTGGTACTTATTAGAAAACCCTCCTTTAAAATCTATCAGATCCCTGCCGTGCTCTACAAAGAGTTTAAAAATGGGACGTCTGAAGCTGCAAGCTGGTATCAATGCAATAGAGGAGGAGGAACCTGAGGAATGTGATGCTGCCTACCCTAACAAAACAACTTTGGCATGCATGATCAATTCAGAAATTGGTGCTGTTTTGGCCGTGATGAGGAGAAATGTCAGATGGGGAGGCCGTT